TCATTCTTTAAGTGATTTTATTTATTTATTAATCTATTTTTATTAAGGATTGATAAATAGCAGAGATTAATTTAGTGACTAGCAAGAAAGGTAGTTTATTGCAAAATGTGGAAGTTTAAAACTGGCTATGAGGCAGGGATTCTTAAATTTCTAGTAGCATGTTTCCTCATTTAAAAGAAAGACAAAAGTCCACTGCTCACCAAAATCATAAAACAGCTAATACGTTAGTTGTACTGGTTTACTTTCAGTGTGCTGCTACAGATGTCAACTTTGATCATGGTGCTGCAGTTATATGAATATGATGCTACTCAGCATATAAGAAATGAAAACCACATTTTAAAGTATTTAATTCTGAATACAGAGTTAATAATGAAAATTAAATAACACAAGTGTATTTAAAGTATTCTATTTAATAGAATGCTTTGAAAAGAGAAATATATAGAGATCTAATAACATAGTCATTCTTTAAAATGTAGTTTCAATCCACCTAATTTTGTCCCTCATTTTCTTCTCAGAACTATATTAGGTCAGTCATATACAAATTATTTTTAAAGTAGACATAATAAATTAAAGAATACCCTGGGAATGGGGAGTGAAACATTTAAATGTACATAGGAAATTTCTGAATGCTGAAGTTGGTTGCTTATCTTTGCATTACTACTCAGCCTGTTTATTACTGCACATAAACAGATTTTTCCCTTTATTCTGTTTTCCACTGTTCTTATACATGCACATAGCTGAGCTGGGAAGAACTAGTGTTTTTGTTAACGAGGAACGTTTCATAAATGCAGAGCTTGAACCTTCATATAGTAACAAGTGATCAGAGTCCTCTTGTCATTTTGTTGACAATCAGATGGTGCAATAGCTGAAAAAATACAATTGGATTTTGTTGGGGGATTTTTCTTGTATTTTCATGGTGTAATTTTTTTATTTGTTTGCTTGGATTGTTTTAATTCGGTTTGGTTTTTTTCCCCTTCCCTGGTTGTGGCTATCTCTTCACTTAAAATTGTTCACAACTTACTTTCATCCTCTCTTTCTCCTTTAATTTTACCTGTTCCTGTCCATTCTCTCTAAAGAGATTGTTTATTGTTAGTTTTCCACCCTGCCATTAATCCAGGACTATGATGAGAAATGAGAAATGCAAAGAGACATGAATTGTAGAGAGGATCCACATGACATACTCATGCCACTGAAGGCAGTCAGTATTTTCAATGTCCATTTTATGCAGTGTTTTACCAGCCACATATTTACTTTCTACTTAAGAAAAGCTGAAACCCAACAACCTACAACACCTTAAATTTAACATTTTAGTAGCAATTTTCTTTGGAATATTAATTTGTAGTGAAGGAAAATATACATAATTGACAAAAAAAAAAAAAAGGAGGAAGATTACATACACAAGCAGCACTTTAGAAGTATACTTATTAACCATAGCATAAGCTTTTGCAATTTTAATTTCCTTGCTATATTGGGTTGGCTTCACTTTATTATTGTGTGTTAGGATGGTAGCTTTTTCATATATTATTCTCAATATATGCTGTGATTTCACTGTTTTTATTTCACTGAGGTGTTCTTTTTATCATTTCCTTTGTGCAGTGTAGTTTCTTTCTCCATGAGACATCTTTTACAATATCTGTTGTTTCTTATAAAGAAGCAAGAGCCTTAATACAGCTATACTGAATGTAGAAGACTTCATTTGCATATATGTAAACTGATTTCTACTTCTCTGTTTGAACTGCTATGGTACAATCTGATGCATTGTTTAAAAGCTTTCCAGCACAGTAGTTCTTTGATTTCCTTAATTTAGCTAATGTAACTAACAGTTTCATTTTTTCAGTCTAGAGGTAGGAATGCTGTACTGCTTGTACCAGCTACTGTACAAAGCTGATAATGTAGAAGTTTTCAAATATTGTAAAATGTTGATTCTTCTAGACTAATTGTGAGCTGCTACAATGTAGTACTTTTAACTCTTATTACACTTGGGGAATGGAAAATAAAGAAACCCTACAGTAAAACTTGTCTGTCAGCCAAGCTATTAATTGTTGCTTGCTCTTGTGACATTTTGTGTGAGAGAACCTGTCTCATCTTGAACTGTCAATTTTTCCTCCCCAACTGCTCAATATTTTAAATTCCTTAACTAGTGAGTTTACTGATGTTCTTGGTGACATCAAATGTGACTGGATCTTAGTCTCTAGTTCTGAAGTTGAATCCCACCTTGTTTGCCAGTTTTACTCTCAACGCAACAGATGCAATATTTGGACCCAGATACTTCTTTATGGTTTCTTTGTATTGTGGCGGCAAACTGCTTGCCAGTTTTACTCTCAATGCAACAGATGCAATATTTGAACCCAGATACTCCTTTGTGGTTTCTTTGTATTGTGCCTGTTGTATAAACTAATCCCATCACTTAATCCCATCTCTCTTGGTCTTTTGTTTACTCTCATCTGTTTACTCACATTCTCATTCTTACAAAAACTAAGTAAGAGGCAGAATTCTTGAATTGCTGTGTGTAGTTCCCAGATGGTGCAGGTAACTACATCCTGTCCCTTCTGTAACATCTGTATGATCCATGCTTATCTCTATTACTCTTAATGGAAGCTCTTCAAAAAGTGTCAGCTCTGATGGTGCGAAGCTCTGTTCTAATTTTCTTGCTTGCACTCATGCCCCATTTACTGTTGTGTTAGCATTGCACTGTAGCATTCTTCCTTTGTAACCTTCTTTGACTGCTTTAGACAGAGGAACCACATCCCCTCCTGACCTTTGTTTTGTTAGCTAAACAAACCAACCCGTTTTACTCTCCTCTTACAAAGAAAGTTTACTCTTCCCTGACCATCCTAGCTTAACTGCACTAACTTCACTCTCAGGTCTGGATCTTACCATTTTAAGTTTCTTATCATGTATCTGTGGAGGAGGTTTCTAATTGTCTAATTTCTAAGTGTCTGGGTTTGGAGGAATTTTTCCCATTGAACAACTGAATAATTTAATTCTTGTGGCAGTAATACCAAAAAAGAACTTGAAGTAGTGACAGCCTCTGATGTTCTCTTCCTGATGACCAGCTTTCCCAGGTGATCAGGAAGAGAAAGTGAACGGATTGGTTTTTTTCTTGTTTTCATTGTTCTATGTGGCATGCAAGGTTTCCACTAATACTGATTAGTGATATGGCCTTAGTCAGCTTTGATGCAGTTTGTCAGGACAGAAGAGGTCATCAAACTTGATCTTTTAATTGAACATACAATTCATCTGTGAAAGGTGTTATTTAGGTTTTTTTAGTTACTAACCTTTAAGTGAAAACTTAAAATTCAAAACCTGTTGGCTTTTGTGGGTTTGCTGTTACAGACTTATTATGGGTGTCTTTTTTTTTTTTTCCCATTAAGAATTGCTTTTTTATGGAACTAAGAAATCTCTGAAATTCTGTGTATATTGGTATTCATTTCAGGTTAAAAACTCTTTAAGTATCAAGTAGTATTTGAAACTGCTCTGAGTGTTTGAAGACCATTTTCTCCTAGACTAAAATAAAAACAAAACAAAACAAAACAAAACAAAACAAAACAAACACCAAAAAACCTCGCCAAACAACAAATACAACAGCCCACACAGAGTATCTCTCTGTAGCAGTTTCCTTAACTAGATTTCTGTACCTATAATGTATGATAATTTTAATAAACAATTGTAATGTAGTTGTGAGAATGAGACTGTGGTGAGTGCAGCAAAAGGAGTCAACTCATTGTCAGTTCTGTTTAACCTCAGCGTTGGTATTTTTTTCAAAGAATTCAGTTGTGTGTAGGTAGGAAAAGCTCAAAAAGTTAACTTCAGTGGTTCAGCAAAACTTTGAGCATGAAAAAAACTTAAAGCCTTTGCTTTCCTTGTCTGTCTTGGAATTTGTATGTATTTATTCTCAGTGATGTCCTATATATTGCCATTGGTGAGGTGTAAGAAAGGAGATAAAAATTAGTATGGAAATTACAGTGATCTTTTGGTTCGTATGTATTGTATGTAATTCTAAAAAATGTTGTTTTGGAAAGTAAGCGACTCATTACTTCAGTCTCTTTAGTATATAGTGTAAATGCTTACAGAAGTCTTTTTACTGTTACCAAAACTTTTAACACAGATGCCTGTCTATAGTAAGTAACCACATACATATCAAATTCGTTTAATTTGTTTGTCTTCAGAAAATAACATACGAAATTTTTTTTTCATTTCGTTAGTATAGTAGTGGATTGTAATGTGTGATCTTCACAAAATTTTGTTGTTTTGGAACTTCAATTGAAATTATTGTGATTTTTTTTTTTTTTCAAGCAGTGTGGACTTCCTTACAGTTGCGATCTTTATAGTTAGTGAAAACTCATTGAACAAATCATCTTTTCATTAGTTAAATATAAACTGTGCTGTTTTACAGGAAATAAACAAGCTAGTTCAGTGGTGGCTAAACCTTTTATTTTTGTGAAGGGTTTCTACAAAACTACAGTTTCTGGTAGTAGTTTGACCAGACAGTATTTAATATTAAAGAGATATTTTCAAATAGCAACCACTTTTAAACTATACCAAGATTTGGTATTTGTCACTTTGTTTACGCCTTGCTTTTTGCATCTGTAATTTACTCCTTTTGTTTTTGCTATGCTTTGTATGAAAAATACCTCCTTCTACAAAACTTGGAAGTGAATATGGCAGCTATAATTAATTACACTGGGTATGCATTAAGTACGATCCACCGCAGTATGAAGTTTTGTTAGCAATTTTCGAGTTAGTACTGTATAACCTGAGCAAATTGTCTTCCAATTGCCTTATCTTGCATCTTTTTTCGTGAAGGGCTCTCCCAGAAGCTTGCATTTTGATTACTTAATATCATTTAATATTTAAAATCTACATTGTTCTACTCAGTCTCTGCAAAATTTACATTGTATACTGCTGAGGGTATGGTCTGCGTTTCATTTGTGCTACTGAAGTCTGAAAAAATAAACTGAGAATTTTCATTTGTTTTTTAATTTTTATTTTTTTTTTTTTTTTTTAGTGCTTGGGAGATGGGAAGTAATGATAGCTGGCACCTGAACTAAAATATCTGTGTAGGCACTACTATCCCAGAACTTCAGGATGAATGGGGATATGCCTCATGTTCCCATCACTACTCTTGCAGGGATTGCTAGTCTTACAGACCGTAAGTACTCTTCTTTTTCTTGACTTTGCTGTGCTGTTTTGTACCTCTTTGGTAAATATTTGCATTTTCAATATAACAAAAATAGTTTTATTTTAAAATTTCATCAAGGTAAATCTGTTCAAAATCAGATTTGGTATTAAAAATGTTAATTTTCTCATTGCTTTAATTTTTAAAATCTATTCAAATAAAACATGCTAATTTAAACATGAAATGAAATGTAGGATAAATAAAACCCTTAAGGAAACTTGAAATAAAATATAGAAATTCATTGTTTCATAGAATCACAGAATGGTTTGAGTTGGAAGGGGCCTTAAATACCATCTAGTTCTAATCCCCCTGCCATGGACAGGGATACTTTCCACTAGGCTGGGTTGCTCCAAGCCCTGTCCATCCTGACATTGAATAGTGCTAGGGATGGGACATGTTTGTTTGGAATATCATTCATTAGTATATCTGGGTACCCCCAAATAAAGAAAACCGCATAAATTATAAAATGCTTCTCTAAAACATACATCTCATCATGATCACCGAGACAGGGTGATGGAGAGGGAGAAAGAGAGAGAGAGAGAAGAGAGAGAGAGAGGATTAGACTGATGCTTAACTAACAAAAAGGAGTTGTGGAATACGCTGAATACACTTGAAACCCAGTTCCTTAATTTTGGACAAGGTACAAAAAAGTACCTAATTAATAGGTGCAAAGATTGGCTGCTACAATGGAAATAAGCAGCTGAACCTGTGAGTCTTCTTTCTTAGCTGTTCAGCCTACAGAAGAAGCAGATGAGGTGTGTAACTGTCTTTAAATATATCAGGAAGACAAGATGCAAGGAAAGGAACTATTTATGTCAAAAACTGTTACTGGCACAAACCCAAATGGTTTATAATGTGGCCAAAAATATGTTTTTAGAGAAAACTAAGAGAAGATTTATTACTATAATGAGGTCCTAGAATAGCCAATGTAGTAAGGGTAGTTGGGTTTAAGATGCATGTTGTTTGTGAAGTGTAGGAAAGAGTTTGTAGCTTGATTGTTTGAGGATAATTGGATTCTGACATAGGTACTTCTAAGCTCTTTTTTTTATTATGATACTATTGAAATTTGGAGACTTTCTGGGGGACACTTGGAATATACACATATATACCCAACAAATGAATTTAATTGCCTGCAATAAAAAAAGTGGATGTATTGGAAGAAAAAGACATCTTCATGTCCTTCTGATATTCTGAAAAATCCAAATTCAAGATGCTGCTTATGTGTTTAGATGTGGTTTTATGTATCTTCATGTATATCTAATAATAAACCATCAGCATGCAAACAGTAAGTTTCTGGGCTGTGGGAAGTTTTCCAGCATTAAGTATTTGCAGGTGAGGTTCTAAAGAAAGTCAAATTCTTAACTGGTGGAAGTCACTGGCCAGATTCTTAGTACAAGAGTTTCTTGGAACACTTGCACTACGTTTGGTGGGATTAGCCCTTGTGTTAGGTTCATTTGCTTCTTTATCTGTCATATTTATCTGTTATTTAGAAACACCAGGGCAGCTAAAAGAGAAAGGTTTGTAACTTCTTCAGTTTATTTTTCTCTGTGTGAAAAGAAGGAACTGCAACAGGCAAGACCTGTTGCCCTAAAAACATGGAGGACATGATGACCAGAGGTAGTAGAGTAGCTACTTAACTAGCTAAATTTATACTGTTTTAATAAGTATGTTTTACTGATCTTGCTAATTTTTCCAAGTTTCTGGCACATTCAGTGTAATCTGATGCAAGTAATGAAAGCTAGCTGGTTTACTATATTATACACTTCTATTTGAATTGCAGTGTATTTCTAAATACAGTAATGATATACATTATATAGGGGGGAAATACTGGAATTCCACTCACACACCCTTTTTTTTAATAAAGAATTTCAAAACATGAAAGAGCCAAAAGAGTATATTTTTTGTTTTGTTTTGATTTTTTGGTTTTGTTTAGTTTTGGGGTTTTTTGTCTCAGAGCTGTAATCAGCCTGGGAACTTTAAGATAGAGTCAGCTTGTTTTTGTGGACCCAAGAAAGTGATTTTTCTGTGTAGCTAGCTTTTTAGCCTCCTCTAGCTTACTCTCCTCTTGTCTGTGTAGCTCTGCAAATCATCTGGTCAAGGCTTCTTATAAGGTATACTTCTTGTTATGTCTGCAGACCTAAGAATGCCCTTTGAAAGTATAGTGTGCTGGTTTATAAACTGATTGAAATACTGTGATGGGTGTTTTCATTAGATCTTTTGACCAAGATTTGTGAATAGGTATATTGACTGAGATAACATTTGAGTAATCATATCAGCCAATGATACTAGCCTCTTCTTGAGAAGATGACTTACATATGGATGAATGCAAGAGAATTAAAAGAAGAGAATCTAATAAGTGGCTTAAATTGGTTGTTGTTTGTGTTTTTGGTGGGTTGTTTTGGGGATGAGTTTAATTTTTTGTTTGTTTTAATCTACCCTGACCATACAAAGTGGGAACATTAATTTAGAAACCTTAAAGTAGATGCTTAGTGCACTTACTGCATGCAACTACAAGGATTTTGCATTTCATTCTTTTATTAATGCTTTTGGCTCCAAGAGAAAGCTGACATACATAAATAGCTTAATATTCTGGAATGTTTAAAAGTATGCTTTTATTCATAATACTTGCCTTAGCACAGTTAAATATTTACAGTAATATGGCAATATAACTTTTGGACTTGACTGCATTACTTTGTTTAAAACAGAGTCCAGTATTTGTGTGTGTGTGTGTGTGTGTGTGTGTGTTCAATTTAAAAAAAAAAACCCAGAAATCTTCCTATATTTACATATATATTGTAAATCAAGTTTTCTTACTTAATGACCTGGGGGAGTAAGAAAGTATGCATATTTCTATTATTGTGTTCCATGAAATGGTTCTGAGCTCTTCTCTGTTTTCTGATAACAGTTTTGAACCAGCTGCCTCTTCCATCACCTTTACCTGCTACAACAACAAAAAGCCTGCTTTTCAATGGACGTATAGCTGAAGAGGTGAACTGCCTTCTGGCTTGCAGGGATGAAAATCTGGTTTCACAGCTCGTCCACAGCCTCAATCAGGTGTCAACAGATCACATGTATGTATTTTGAACTTCAGTTATATCAGATCCGTATTCCTTGAAATCAAAATTAAATGGATTGAGAAGTATGTTTGTGAGAATCTGAGAATTAGAACATGCAGTTTTTATTAGGCTTGTTTGGCAGATGACAGCTTTACAAGAGTCAAATATTTTAATCAGTCAGGACATTAATAATTGTCCTGCAGCCTTTATGCTTAACTGTGGGATATATTTTATAGGTGTACTGCTTATTCTATTCTTGCTAGTTAGGAGTGCAGACTTTGTGGTGGTGATTTTGCAATACTCATTTGTGTTCCACTTTGGTTGATAATGCGCATTGACAAATTTTATACCCAGTATTACACAGAAAGGAAGTTTTTTGAGACACCTATATAAGACCCATGTCCATTCTGATTAGGTATTGTTGTAACTTAAATATTTTAAGAATTGGACCAGCAAGGATGGTAATGTGTTCTCTTTTTGTTAATTTTTCCCATTTTTTTCCTCCCTCCCTCCTTTCCTCCCTTCTTTCCTCCATCCCTGTCTTCCTTCCTTCCTTCCTGCCTTCCTTCCTGCCTTTCTTCCTGCCCGCCTTCCTTCCTGCCCGCCTTTCTTCCTGCCTCCCTCCCTCCATCCCTCCCTCCCTCCTTCTCTTCCTCCCTTCTTCCCTTCTCTTATTTTTTTTTCTTTTTTTTTTTTTAGTTTTTCTTTGGTGTCCTTTGAATTGTCTTACATTGACAACACACTTTTTCCTACATGTTCCAATCAGTTGTTAGATCAAGTGGAAGTAGCTTTTATAAGTCCTTAAAGCAAACCATGACTGAAAGAATGGATACATTTATAGAAAATACATTTCCTTTTTTTATGTTTAAGAGGGAATCCTGTGGTGTCAAAGTTATGCCAATTTCCCTTCTTAAAATAAATGATTCTCAAAGCAATGGGTTGTAACCTGAATGTTACACATTCATGCATATGTTAATTTTACTCCTACAATAATACTTTATTGATGTTATGCCAAAGCGTACTTTTGTGAGGAAGGTCACAATATAAAAGCGAGCATAAGAAACTTTTTATAATAGTCTGAAACTGACAACCATGTAAATAGAAGTGCTTTGCAGCAGAAAATAATTTAAAGACTAGTAGGAATACCTCTTCTGCCATTCCTTAAAGAAAAGAGGGGAAAAAAAAAACATACAGGCAGGGAGCAGTGCTTTGCAAGCTTGGTTTTTTCTATATTTTAACAGTAAATTGTTTTCTTTCATTTGGTTTTGTTTTTTTGTTCTTTTGGTTTTGGTTTTGGTTTGTTTTTTTTTTTACTTGACTCATAGTTTCTTATAATTTGAAAATGCATTTGCCTCTTTATTTGCTTACTTCCACAATTCCAGAGAGTTGAAAGATAACCTTGGCAGTGATGATCCAGAGGGAGATATACCAGTCTTGCTGCAGGCTATCCTGGCAAGGAATCCTAATGTTTTCAGGGAGAAAAGCATGCAAAACAGATACGGGGTACAAAGCGGTAAGGATTTTTGATTATTTATTATTGCATTTTATGTTGTTCTGAAGTTTAGGGGCCTGATACTAACCACAGATTTGTATGGAGTACAACTGTGATATTTATGCCATACCTCGTTTTCGATAGTGATATAAACCTGTGTACCTTGACATCTTCTCAGAGTAATTGATTCTAGTAGAATAAGCATGGAAATAAACTACCATATTTTTGTAAAAATATATTAAATTTCACTACAAACTTTATAATCTGTAGGGTGATTAGATTTTGTTTTAAAATAGTTTATTTTCATTTTTATGGCTACATCTGTATATTTGTCTTAGTAAATAATTGAAGTTGGAAAAATATGCCTTAATCTTACTGAAAATCTGTATGATCACAGTACATTATTGCAGCAGTAGTGAACTACAAAATAGGTAGGACAATTTCTAGAGTTTCCTTAGGGTGAGGGTAAAGCTTTGGTAGCGCTGCTAAGATACAGATTGAAGTGTTACTGGGGGGGTCCTTAGAGCATAGGAAGTGTAAGGTGGTTCTGGATGGGAAAAATAGCAAAAAGAGATTGTTAGGTTTGTTCACCTGTGCTGGTGAGTAAAAAGCCAGTCAATATTTGAAAATAACTTGCTAAGGGCAGAACACGTGATGTTACTTGGAAGAAGGCAGAAATTCCCTGGAATGAAAATGTGAAATGCAGTGCTAGATACTGGTAAGTTCATTGATACATGTATCTGTGCTTCACAGGGAGAAACATTTTTGCAGCTTGATTAAGTAGGTTAAGGATAATCCCAATGAAATAAAAGTCCATATATCTTTAGTAAATGTGCTTTGGCCCTCCTTGAAGGAAGATATTAGTACAGAATAAAAAATAATTAAGCATGAAACTTAGAAGAACAGTTGGTGTTATTTTAGTTAGTTAGAAAGTGGTCTCAGAGAACCAGAAGAGATCAGTCTTTTAAACTCGCATGAATATTTAATTTTATTTTACATAATTCTGATTACTTGTATGAGTGCAAGAATTGAAATGTAAGTGTGAAATCTGAGAACTGAAAGGAAAAGGGGAAGAGAGGAAAATCATAGCTGTGTACAAAGTGTTTTGAGAGGAAGAAAGCCCTGGAATGAATGCCTGGAAAAGCTAGGTGAAATGTGACTTTATTTTCAATGGATGAAGGCTACACTCTTACCTGGAAATATGTGGATCTTTAAGTTAGATGCTGGCAGCTTGTGATAGCCTTATTAGCTGTGCCATGTCCTGTTCAGATCTCCAAGGTTAAAGGTGGCTGTACTAATGTATTGGAAAGCAAAGGTTGGATTTTCTTCTGCTTTCTGGACAGATAGTGTAATCATTGTAGACTAGTGATTTGTAGAACAGTTGTTGGTTTGGTAGAGATCTTATGTAATACATTTTGCCAGCTGGAAGAGTGAAATTTAGACTCTTTTCTAATATTTCAAATTCACCTTTTTTGCTTTCCTTACTGTCTTCTGAATATTGTCTTTCCACCTTCTGTTGAGTCCAGCATACATTGAAGTCAGCAGTGGGTACTGTAACACAGTGTTTGTAATATTCACAATTGAGAAGCAGCAAAGGCAGTCACCCCCTGGGGACTCAACTTGGGATGGATCTGTGCACCAAAATCCTTTGAGTGCGTTAGTTCCAGCATTAGTATGGACAAAAGTGAACTCAAATTCATTTCTCCTAGCTTTCATTTCTGATGCAAGAACAGGAAGACCACCTGGCTAAACAATTACATTAAACACAGAATAAAATTCTTGGTTCAGTACAGTTTGTCAGGAAATAAAGACATCTTCAGAAAGCTAAATACTATGTTAGGAATTCTTGTGAATGTAAGATAAAGCACAAGTAGAATTCTATGTTGATGGTTTTTTCCCATGTTCATACCGATCTGTATTTAGTTCAAAACTAAGTATTAGAGCAAGAATTGTTTTTAGTTATGATGAACAAATAGTGCAAGAAGGATGTATTATCTGGACACTTTACTTGTGTCCTAACTAGGCACCCTCCACTTCCCCCCACCCTCCACTGCTGGTACATTTAATTTCAGGTAACATAGCAGCAATGCTCGAACTCTTATTTCCTATCTTTAGATAACAGTCCTATTGTCAAAACAGTCTTCAAACATCCTAGGTTTTTTAGATTAGATTTTTAGTTAGATTTTTTTCAGACTGTTTCCTATTACCAAGTTATCTGAACAGACTGATTCACATCACCATGTGGTGTCAGGCCTAACTGTGTACAAGTGCACAATGTTAATTTTATTTTAGACCTTTTCGTCAGATGACACAGTTTTGGGTGTCATCTTGCAACTACACCTGTCTTGCATCTTAAAGTGCATGAGTGAAGTGGATTTCTTTAGAATCATTTTTAGGATTTATTTAGAATTGCTTTCAGTTTTCATAATATTTTCTTCTTTTTTCTCTATCAACACTTTGGCTTTGTTTTTCAGCAGATATGTGTTGGCAGATAAGCTAAAATAGGATATTGCAATAGGTTAGTATTCATAGCATCACTTAGGGTTCAAGAAGGACTTAATATTCCCTTGAAGCTTTTTATGAGAACTTGGGAATTTTGGGGTTCATAATCATATGCATATTTCTGTAAACATAAATTACTTGGATAATTTTTTTATTTGTACAAAAATTCAAGTGTATGTGTGCCTATAAAAGGAAAAAGCTTTGCAATAAGAGTGTAGATTTAACTGAAACATCACCTGTTGGTGAGCAGTCCTAGCTTAAACATGCTGATGCTGTAATACAGTTTAATCATACAAGACATCCTGTGACCTTGAGCTGCAGTTTTATGTAGTGCATTCTTTGGCATCTAGTTTTAGTGGAATGCTAAAATGGATTTATGCATATCACTTTTTTCCCAACCAAAAATAAAAACCAAACCAACACATATAGGCAACACTGGGGGTATGTTTTAAGGAAACTCGTCGTAGTCACGTTACTACTAGGATATTGCTTTCTCAAACCTGAACATTACTGATATTCAAAATTAAGGTGGCATTTAGAAGGAATTCTTAAATATTTAAGGTTAGGAATTGCACAGTGGAGCCATAGATCTGCTTCTTAGTGATATGACAATAATGTAAAAAATGTACAAGAAGATATTTAGTGGTAATGGCAAGAGACCAAGTTCAGCTCCTTTTTAGACTAAATATTTGAGGCTTATTTCTCATTTCATTGTTATCGGGTATACTTGTTATCTGAAAACTTTAGAGATACTGGGGCTTTTTTGTTGTTGTTTGGCTGGTTTTAGTTTTTTGTTTGTTTTGTTGTGGTTTTTTTAATTTTGTTTTCCAGTTTTCCTTTCTTTTTTTTTTTTCTTAAAGTTACCAAGATTGTGCCTCCTATATCCTGCTCCCTCCCTCAACAGAGAGAGAAAAGTGAGAGCTGTCACAGAATAATTTTTAGCTGTTTTGTTGGTTGGTTTGGTTGGTTGGTTGGGTTTTTAGTGGTATTAAAATTTGATTTATTTCTGTATTTCCTGTGATTCTTTTAAACCAAAACCTATCGCATCTCTGGCTTAAAATGTGTTTTGAAGTTAGGGAGGAGAGAATATGTAGAAAATTTTTAAAGTATTTTGAAAGCACAGATTTTGCTTTAAACATAAAATGAAACTTCCTTTGTATAGTTCATGCTTACTGGAGCACATTCTGTCAGTTTCCTGTACGTGAATGGTAAGGGTTGGTAGTATGACTAAGATACTGTACCTATCTGTGTTGAGAGTGGCAGTGAGAGGTCAGTGAGAAATGGGCATGCTGCAGCAAAGCATCCCTGGAGTCTCCTCCTCCTCACTTGCCTCTATTTGAGGCAGCCAGTGTCTGTTAAACAAATTTTGCCAGAGCTGAGGAGTCCCCTTCTGTTACTTGGGACAGTGAAGTGTCTTCTGTATTGAAGTAGGGAGGTATCTGGGGTTTTTTTCAGCACAACACGGGACTTTCACTTCTGCTCTGGGCCAATTTTCATGTGCTAAAGTACTTGGAATGCAGCAGTTCACACCTACCGGAAGGTAGTAACGGCTGCATGCCCGCAGGATTATCACATCTCTTCTCTGATGGAGAGAGGGGAGAAAGAGGGGGACAGACCTCAGGGAGGATTTCTGGAACTGGTTTTGCATGTGTGAATATTGCAGCAGTTGAAATCCATGATAGCAACTGAAGGATTGACAGCTCCCAAACACTCTGGACTTTCATCAGCCTTTTGTCTAACTTTTGTTTTAAAATATTTGTACTACTTGCTGTGGTTTCCCAAGCTGCAGTGTGCACATGAATTTCTGACACTGCATTTAGCTGTAGTGTGTTAAATTCTGTCATTAAAATAACTTAGAGGTAACTTAAGTTTTTTGTGTTTCTGCATCACTTCAATTTCCAGTTGTTAGGGAATTCTTTATTCCTGTATCAAAGAGAGGGAGGAAAAAAAGATTCCTTTAAATTCTACCCAATAGTCACGCGAGTTAGAACAGAATGGAATAGAAAATTTCAGTTGCAGGGGACCTGTGATGATCAACTAGTCCAACTGCCTGACTGCTTCAGGCCTGGATGAAAGTTAAAGCAAATTATTAAGGGCCTTGTCCAAATGCCCCTTCAATGAGCTAGTTTCGAGCACTTTGGTACTTGTGGCTTGCCAGCTAGTACAACTCCAGAATTCCCAAAGCATGACTGTGGGGATCTACAGGCTATGGGAGCTTACAGTTGGGATATTCATTGTGCTATGCAACTGAAATATTTCAGCATCTTATTTGATAACATTCCTTATAAATGTAGCGGAGTTGGAATAGAAAGCTTTTGTCCCTGGGTAGGAAGGAACCACTAAGACATTACAGGAGTGGTAAGGATATCTTGCAGCCCAAGATGTTGTTTGCTGTACTTCCTTGAAAAATGGGAGATAAATTTTCTGTGTTCTTCTTACTGCAAAGTTTTGAAATCTTTTACTTATTGGCACAGTGAGTACTGTACACGCCAGCCTGGGGTCTGAAATCTATGTCCTGTTACAGAATCTTTCTATTTACTGGTAGGTTTTGGCTTCTTCTAAAGAACAGAGGAAGAAATGACTGTCAATATTTAAAACTGAATTAACACTGCCTTAAGAACACTTCTGTATGTCATGATGTAAAATGAACATCTTAAACAGAATCAATCTTTTCTAGTGTTTTCTAACAGTTGCGGGTAAATGATGTTAATGGCTGTAAAGTTTTTAATTTCTTTGTATATAATAATTTCTTAACTGAGAGAGTTCATTGATTAAAAAGGAAATGTATGTAAACTAATGCTGCTATTTCTTTTTAATAGGGATGATGATGTCACAGTTTAATATGTCTCAGAATTCCATGCGTGGTAGTCCTGCATCTTCCAATTATCAACAAACCACTATATCACATAGTCCTTCCAGGTAATGCTTTCTTTTAAATGGGGTGGGAAGGGCAGCCAACTGCAAATCCTTCCTACACTGAGAGTCAGTTATTGTTGCAAGTATGTAAGTGGAAGGTCATAAGTGTCAAGACAAATTTTGTATTTGTCAGCAGGGTGAGTTCCTTCAGATGGCAAAGAAACCTTTTTGTCACTGATTTAATCCTTGTATTCTAAGGATTAGCCATGGTTCTCCTCTCTCACTCCCTGAATTCTGACAAACTTTTTTCCCTGCTTAACAAGTCCCCCTGCCATCCCTCCACATCTTTTCTACCTGTGACAGAGGCTGAGGCTGGTGGCAGGAGGTTAGTAGAGAAGAGGCTAATGTGTTCCAGTATTTATAACAGCACCAGTGTGGCAGGAGGGTGGGAAAGAAAGCTTGTAAAAGCATGGAGTACTTGTTAACATGTTAACAGTTATACTAAGAGCCACTCAGACGATAGGCATAGTTTGGTCAGTCTTCCAGCAGCATCCTCATCAGCTTTCTGATTCTTTTTTTCTAACTTCTGAGTGTTTGCAAGTAGTATGTACTATAATCCAGGCCTTTATTCATAAAATAAAGTACACTGGACTAGAGGAAAGAATTCTTCATGTAGTTTTGATGCAGTTACTGGGTTATAATGTGCATTTATTAGTGTTACAAGCCTGTGTTATTTTTATGGCTTTCTGTCTGTAGGGTCAGTCTAAGATAAAGCCAATGAAAGAGTAAGTTGTATTCAGTGGACTTTGTGTCAGGTCCTACCTAATTGCCTACCGCATTCCTGTATCTTGGCAGTATAGTTCTGTTAGATTAATTTATTTGAAATCTTACAGGAAAAATCGTATTTAGAGCAGATGGCTCCTTGTTAATCCTGCTGACCTAGCGGTTAATTAAAACTTAGCTGTCACTTTCATTCGAACTTCTAGGACTAACTTTTGCAAACTGCAGATCCTTTCTCTAGGTGAAGGTCTTGTGAATGTTTTTTATTCTGGTCTTTACTGTTACTAATGTAGTATCTAAGCCGTGATTCCTAGGTAATAATTGAACTTAGGAAGGTATTGATAGCCTAAAATACCGCTTTTGAGAGAGATTATTGATTGTGTTGGAATTTTGTATCAGTAATTTTTCTAAATTTGCTTTTCCAATTTTTAAAAACTTAATTTTATTTTTAGCCGGTTTGTGCCACCACAGACAAGCTCTGGTAACAGATTTTTGGCACAACAAAACAGCCCAGTGCCTAGTCCATATGCTCCTCAAAGCCCTGCAGGATACATGCCGTATTCACATCCTCCAAGTTACACACCACATCCGCAGATGCAGCAAGGTAAATCTGTGATGTTTGTTTTATTCTTCTAGCTCATGTCAGCTTTATGTTCATGTGCATGTTTCACACCTTTCTAATTTCTTTGAAAGAGTCACATGCTTAATGGAAATCTTTGAGTTGGCAGACGTGTTTAAGCTTTGCTTACCTGACTCTACAAGTGGTAGTATGTACTCCATTAAAAAAAAAGAAAAAAGGGGAAGAAGAAAAGATAAAACACATGTTCATGTTGTATTGCTCCCTTATGTATTCCCACATGCCAGCCACGCCCATTTTGCATAGTTGGCATGTATACATAGCAATCAACAAATCAAACCAAAAACTTCTACTTGTTAGCTATGGCCATTTTTCTGTACTAGCTAAAACCTTGGATTTGCCGAGGTATTGTAAGTTTTGCTGCCAGCTTATATAGCCTTACCAAACCTTTGTAGTGTTGACCAAATTAATTCTAAGTTGGCTAGAATTAAGCTCAAAGTTATGCAAAAACTGGTAAAGATGATCTGCAGAATTAAAGGATGGTTTTGTTCTTCCCTTTTACTAAAAACAATCTTGAAAAACACAAACGCTGTTGAAGTATCTAGGGCATTTTTCTACTGGTAAGTAGGATTCTCATTGGATTTTTCTAAATCATTTATTCTTGAAGTTTAGCATTGTGCTTAGAATACATATAGATGGTTCTGTGTGTAATGTTTTATGTCTTATGAATACCTTGGTAGTTACTGAAGGCAGTGAAAACAAATTATATGGAGGAAAACAAAGTTTTCTATTACCAGTAAAAATATGATACTGACTGTAATTACGATAGATGTGGACAGTAACATGGATAATCTGTACATGGAATTTAGGTTTTAAATCCTCTTGAAAATTAAAATCTTAGTTATCTGATTTTATTCAAGGTATTCGTGGCAAAAGGATTCAATCAAAAAGTTAGATTATTCTTCAGATTCAAGACCTTACACATCCAGTTTACAAATATACACCATTATAGTGTTTTCTCTGAAACTTTTTAAGAGTTGACGAGTATGTGAATATATCAGTATAGTTACTTATACTTCTTGTATTTCAGCTTCAGTATCCAGTCCCATTGTCACAGCTGGGATGAGGAATCTCCATGAAAATAAAGTTTCAAGTCAGTTGTCTGGAAATTCAGCTAATCATCATGCTGATAATTCTAGACATGGCTCAAGTGAAGACTACCTACAGATGGTGCACAGACTAAGTAGTGATGTATGTTACATAGATCAGTTTATTATGATACAGTAATTATTTATTATGATAAAGCAAATACGTGTTTAGGTGCCTCAGAAGTCAGATAGTTGACTGTGTTGTTAATCTGTAAAGCCACTGAAAATATATTTCGATTTTTGATGCCACTCAACCATGTGACTTTACTGTGTGAGATTTAATTTTTGCTAGATCTCTCTTTCCTTTGGAACTGTTTGTAGCATTCATTCTGAAAAAATTGAGAAGAGTAAGAAATCTTCACATAAACTCATGTGTGAGCTTATTTTAAAGAAATGGTGAGTGTCTCTACAATTACTATAGCAATATAGTGGTGCAAACAATACTAGATTCTAAATAGTTGTATAGTTAACTTGTCTCTCTGAAGATGCCTGCAATTGTCCATTAGACTTGATATTTGAATTATCTATTGGGTAATAGAGTAGTGTTGTCTAAAGCAAGAATTCACGTGGACATCTTTTCTTACTGATCTATTATATGCTTTTATGGCCTGGTTTCTTTGTAAGAAGTGTTCCTTTAGTGACTTTCATTTCACATGGGAAAAATTCTTTCCGAAGTCTTGAATCTAATGGGAAAAACCCTACAACTTTCTCCCACATCTTTTCAACCTACTGATAAATTTTCCTCTTAATGAGCATCTAATCATGTGGGTGAAGCTTGTTGGGATTCTTCTTTTCAAGTTTGACACAAAATCTCTTTAATGGCACTTGAGTTTGAGTTTTGTTTTCTCATCAAAACCTGGTGGCAAGCAGGCCTGTTTTTTGTTTGATTGGTTTTTGGTTTTGGGGGGTTTCTTGTTTTTTGTTTTGGGTTTTTTTTTTGTGGGGTGTGTGTGATTGTGTCTGTGTTTTATTTAGCGTACAAAAAAATGTGGGCAACTCTTGTCTTCCTAAACTATCTTGTGGAAGCAAAAAGTGTTTTGTTCGACAAATGTACTAGTAACACCAGACTCTCAAATCCCTTGCCAGGATTAATACAGTAGAATGCCAAGAAAGTTCCTAGTCTTATAAGTCTTACATTTTTATATCAGTCTTTCTTGTTCTTGGCATTAAATATACGTATATCCCCCAACTATGTTAAGCTATCAAGATAATCTTGGGTTTGTTAAGACAGGATTTTTGAAAAATTTCTTAAGAATAACATTAGAATGATTTATTTCATGATTTTAAAGAGAGAGTATTTAAAAATATTCATCGTCTAATTTTATGATCCAAGCAGTGCAACCAGATTCTAGTTCATGAAAACTTACAAATGTAACTCTTTCAAAATGGACAGACTATGAAAACATAAATCATACCCTCATTGGTTGCTTTAATTGGAAAAACACTAAATGGAAAAAAATCTAATAGAATTGTGTTCTAAGTGTCCGTGGATGATGAAACTGATGAAATCTGGTTTCTTACAGATTTATGTTCTTTGACTCATAAGCACTTTCATTCCATAAATTTCAAACTCTTTCCTTTTCTGTAAGCAGTGTCATCTACACCTTCACAAGGTGTAACATTTACACTCTCTAATCTACAGCTGTGCATGTGTGGAAATTGGCTGTTTGGCCCTTGTCAGAGGGAGTGTGCAGGGTTCTCTCTTCTTGAAATGCCAATTTAGCTTTCCAGCTTACTACTGGCTGCTGATTTTTTCCATACAAACGTGTCAACATAATTACAGTCAAGGCTTCTAACATTCTGTCAATTGGGCTAAGATTGGTCAAAAGGATAAAAGGTATTTATTAGACAGATAATTCAGATGAAAAAAAAGTTAAATGTAAGAACTGCATGTATTCAGCTACCTCAACAGGAACCATGTTAGAATATTAGCTACTGAAATAACCAATTTTATTAGGATAAAAGTTAAATAACCTTTGAATTTCCTTTGACTTCCTTTGAATGACTTTGCTCGTTCAAAGAACTGACTTTTTGCAGTTTGTTTATAGTTATAGAACTTGTCTCTTCATAGATACAGGGTTGCTAGTTTGTTATTTCCTCAAAAATTCCTATAGATGTTGCATTAAAAAAAAAAAACAGTGCTAAAAATGGGAAGTACTATTCTGAAAAAGTTTTAAATCTAGTTAGGGCATTGAGTGAACGAGTATATTGCTCAACAGCAGAGGGCTCCATGAAAGCGGTAAAAACCCCATGCAGAACATTAAATGGTAGCTTGAGTAGTGGGTTTCACATTTAATTTTAAGATACTGTTGGGGTAAAAAAAGACACATTTACATTATTAAAGATAGAGCATGGACATCATTACATTCTAATTACTATTATATTATAAAGAAGTTTGTCATAAACTATGAATTGCCTTGAAGCGGGTTGTTCTGTGTAGAACTAAGTAGATAGCAGAACTTGTTTGCTGTGTTGGAGAGGTGCTTCGTATCGTCACTGAGTTGTTTCCTATCTAACTGTTGAGACAGGAAATAACAAGCTGAAGTCACTCCAGTTATGTTTTACACGAGACTATCTCAGCTGCTGCAATAAGAATGCTAGAGATTCTGTTCAGTCCTGATAATACAACACAAAGTCTTAATTTGTTTAACTGTGAAAGATGGCATTCTAGATTAAGCTTTAAGGGTAGGTAAAGAGAAAAAAAATATGAGTTTGTTTTGAAAATCTTCATGAAAATCTTCATTTTATGCTCAATTTCTTTCAGTTGGCATTGTATAGAGGTCATGTATATGCTGCTTTTCAGCTCTTCACTATAAGCGCTTGTAACAGAAAATCTCTAAAGGGAACCTTAAAGTATACCAAAAGTGCTTATCTAGCCAGAAGACATGTACATAGATTTATTGTTATGTGTATGTTCTGGTTATAGATTCTTCTTATGGCTGATTGTTCTTTGGAATGTTGCTTATATAATAGTCTAGTAGCAGTCTAAATTACAAATATCTTTATGTAAATAAATATTTTTCTACTATTTCTTACATGCTTTCTTGTCAAATCCATTTTATCAGCATATGTGCTAATTTCAGACTTCTTTTTTATCAAGTGTTCATGTTCCTAATGTTAATTTTTATCATTATCACTTTAGGATGGTGATCCTTCAATAAGGAATGCTGCACCTTTTTCCTTGAGGTCACCACAGTCAGTCTGCTCTCCAGCTGGAAGTGATGGAACCCTTAAAGGTAGTCTAGCAGTCATATATGTCAATGTATTTGTTCCCAGTTTTAAAGAACAGAATGTTTAGAAAGGTATTTATTTGTTCATCCTGACTTTTGTATTCAAATAGTACTAGAGAAGATGTTATGTTTGAGATACAAAATTATTTTGAGCCCTGATCCAGAAGAAATTTCTGAAAGTCCAAATATTGACTAATCATCCTTCAAATCAAAGCTCAAATTCATGGAGGACAGAAGGATTTTAAATCCTTTCCAATATGAGGATTAAGTTGTTTATAAGAATGTTTTCAGTTGCTCTACATAGGAGATGGTTTAAAGGCAGCATTACGAGTACTGAACTCTTAACCAGCTCAAAAGTGTTCTGACATGCAGCACTTACTTGCAATCATGAAATCTTAAGAACATGAAATTGAAATTGGTTCAATGAACTCAATACACATAGCATAAACGAAGCCTGAAAATCTTAGCTGTGGAGAAGGAATAGGGTGAACTGTCAGTCAGGTGAGGGAACAGAAAACAAATCTGCTCAAAATAGTTCTTTATGCTAAAATCTGGAATGCATACTGCTGTTTTTAATATTATCCCTAAGAAGCAATGACTGAGATACATGAGATTTAGCAAGGTAGGGCTTTGGGCATATTCTTTCTAATTTTCTTTTCAAGTGTTTATGTATTTACATAATAAGTATGTATATATTATAAAATATAAAATATTATGTATATATTTACATAATAAAGGTGCAACAGTGCTTTCTTCCTCTTTAGCCCTGAAACAAAATTAAGTCTTTTCAGGTGGTCAGGATAGGTGGAGAATGAGAAAAGGAGATAGGGGAAATTCCAGAGGAGGTGAAGTTACAGGCCTTGTGCAGCCTGGGTAAGAGATGTCTTTGGCAGCAGACCTTAGAGCAGCCTTTCTCTACCTATGACGACATTATCAGGAAGACTTGGGTCAGGCTTTTCAGTGTTGTAGAGGAAGGATAAGATACAGTGGACTTAAACTGAAACGGGAGGTTGTATCTAGGTCTACAGAAAAACTTTTTCACTATGACAACAGTCAAGCATTGGAAATGGTTGGCTAGGTAATCTGTGTATTTTCTGTCCTTAGAGGTTTTCAAGTTCAGGCTGAGTAAAGCTCTGCATAATGTGGTCTTGCTCACCCTCCTTTGAGAATGAGTGTGGAATAAAGACCTCCTGAGGTTCCTTCTTAAATGAATTATCCTGTGATCCTATGAATGCTGAGTGATCTCTGTAGTTCATCTTCTGTAGGCATATACTGCATTAAACAGTGATAGAAAAAATGTGGCTCAAAGTGGCAAGTGAGAAGTACGTGTATAAGCATGCCAGCATCATCAGTATTTCCTGAAGTCTTGTGCTAAAGGACTTGTAAGACTTGTGTAAATGGTGAAGACTAAATGTGGTTTTTTTTCTGTCTTTGTCACGCTTATCAGTTCAACAACATTGTGAGTCTAAGCTACTTACACTCAAATACATGATTACCACTCAGAAGAATATTTGAATTATTTTTGGTTGAAGTTGCTGCTGTTTCATTTGGCTATGTCAGAAGCCAGTTTTGAAGGGATACCTTTTCAAATTATTTCTGAAAACAGTCTGATTGTACAGTCTAGATTGTAATGTTTCAGCATTACAGGGCCTGAAGAAGTGTGAAAGGAGCTTTTTGATTTGACCTGTATGGTAGCTTTAGTTTTCCTATTCATAAAGCACACGACTGAAATACTGTTACTAATGGTGCTAACATTTTGCCTTCTTAAGGAGATTAATGAACACTGATTGAGAGAACAGGTTCTTGATGCTGCAGGGATCTTGCCAGACATTTACTTCCTCTAATCTTGTATTTTAAAAATGTATGGAAAAGGTGCGGATAGTTACAGTGATATTTAGAACATGGGCTCTCTGACAGTTTTTGTCCTATTATTTGGAGTGAAAGTTGTGATGAAAAATTTTCCAGAGATGTAAAAAAGTTGATTTTTTTGTTGGTATTCTCATTAGCCCTTGAAAGTTTGGTTGACAGGTTGCACACTTTGATAAAGAAAATTAGCAAAACAATTCATTGTTTGGGAGGACAAAAAGAATGGCACTAAACATTGTCAGTCCAGAGAGAGATGTCAGGAAGGATGCTATATTTAAGCTTCCTTATATAACGTAGAAACTTGAGGTGATTACCAAAGGTATGGTTACAGACTATATTTATTACTTTTGATGTGGAAGTAGCAAGGACTTACTGGAGACTTGGAGAATGTGATTGCAGGGTCTTGAATTACTTTAAGACTGACCGTGGCTGTTTGACAGCATCTGAACAAGAGTGAAGTTTTGTTTGCTACTCAGGCAAATATTTGAGAGATGGAAAAAGTTGTATTATTTTGGTTGGTTATTCACTTATTGAGTAGAGTAAAATTTCTCTGTTACAGGAATCTTTGCTTCACTTCTGCTCTAGTAAATATACCAGAGCAACTGAAGTTATATCCAGAAGTTCTAGGCTGGTATTTATCCTTTGGCTGTGCTTTCATGCTATCATCTGTTACCACATCTACCTTCTTAAAAAATTCCTTTTTATGAATTCACCTATGAAGAATTAACATGGACTATTTTCCTTTTGTTGATCTCATAAAATATTCTGTGGATTCAGTTACCCAAGATCAGTCACACATCAAAATCCTTTAGCCATTTGTTTTACTTTCCCACTGCTCTGGCACCTGAGAAAAGATTTTTTTAAGACAGCATCTAAAGATCTGTATACAGGAAAGCTTTCCACTACGATTTTTGTCCATTGCATTCCAAAAAGAAGAGTTCGTATCATTTACAGTCCTGTTTCCATACAATTTCCTAAACTCCTGGGAAAACATCGAAGTTAGGATGAGCAACAACTCTTATGAAAGTATATAATTTTGCTTTCTTTTCTAGAAATAAATTGTATTCCCTCCAGACATTCTTACTGTGTATTTGATTATTTTCTGAAAAATTTTGAAAGATTACTTTTATTTTCATAGGGATTTATAGGACTTCTCCAGAGAGATTTCTTTACACTTTGCCTCTCAGTGCATAGTGGGTGGCAAGAAGAATTAGGAATCTTCTCAAATCTGTAGTACAGATTTCAGTGCTCTCAAAGGCACTTGTTAAGAAAAAGTATCATCTCATCCTCTCTCCTTCAGAACAAAGGTGGAAGAAATTTACTCAAAAGATTCTTTCTGACAGGGCCAGAATAAACATTCATTCTTGTTTCTTTCTTCAAGTCTTAGGTTTTTTTTTCGCAAGAGTATTTCTGAATACATCAGTTCTAAGCTAGGACAGCCAAAGCTGAGTTTTTTCTTGAGGCATTTGGAGCTCTGGAGAAAGTGTTGGGACTCCTCCCTGAAAACTATTGAAAGAGTATGCGGAAAATGAGTGCACTCTGTCCCTAAAAACCTTCCAATGTATGTTCTTTCTTTATCTCATGTGCTGTCCCTTTAAGTTTGAATTTTAAATTAAGATACCCTCTTTGAAAATGGATGGCAGCATTGTTAATCAAAATAAGTAATGATTTCTTTATATCTGATACAAAACTTGGGAAGATTTTCAGAGGAAGATTTAGTGATTTTAGAAAATAAACAGGAAAGGACTTGGGTGCTTCCCATCAACTTACCATATCTCATGTTGGATGAGCTGTACCAGTATCACACCCAATAACTTCCATCTTTTTTTTTTGTTGTTGTTAAAATGTCAGTAATGGAATTTACTTATTCTTGCCATGTGACCCATTTGCATTCTTAGTGCTAGACAGCTTTTCTCCTAATGCTTAGCCCAAATAATTTTTGTTGCAGTTAGCCATGACACTTCTTGACTTCTTTCCAGTGGGCAAGGAAAAACCATTCATCTTCTTTTTTTCTTTTTTTAATAGCAGTCATTTACATGTCAAAGAACATTATCATGTCTTGCGCTGTTCTAGTCTACAGACAGAGTGGCATGATCTCTTTCTATGATCTTTACATAAGTCACCATTTCTGAGCTTTTTCTGAATTTTAAGTGGTCTCCGTTTATCTTGAGTTGTGCTGTCCTAAGTTGTAACTACAACTCTATTTGAAGACTTAGAAGGATGAGTAGTCAGCAAAGTACTGTAGACAACTTTGTATGATACTACTGTTGTATATGAGAGTATAGGACCTTTGCTGATAATTTAGATTCATATTGCAAGTTGTTTCAAGCATATTCCTGTCTTTCTGTAGAGCTTATCTGTCTTCATCTCATGATGTTACAATTGTTCTTTCTCAGGTGAATTAAAATTTTGTGGTGCTTCTCACTGAATTTCTCTTGTTTCAAAAGGTTATTCTAATTAGTCAAGAAAACTGTAATTTTTGATTGTTTTTGAAAGCAGTGGTGGGCCTCTCAAAGACTCAACACCAAAAGCTGTTACAATCTTTAGATTAATAAAATACTCTGTTACATGGGAACTTATAAATAACAAATAATTTAAACTACTGTTCTTAAGACAGTAGTCTGGAAATCTGTACTTTTTCACCTGCACTCCATCCATTTTCGCCAAGACAACTGATAGTTGATGAAGACAGTTTTGCTATACGTATACTGCAATCTTACCACGTTTTTGTCTAGGTCATACTTCCTCAGCTGTTAGTGAAATTGTTATGAAAAGCTACATAGAGAGCCATACTAGAGACTAGATATGGCACTCAGTTCTCTTTGATCCACAAGACCTATTGCTTTATGGAATAATATTATTTTGATTTGATGATACTTATTCTTAACAAATTCACTTTGGAATACTACCTCTTTATTATTTCCTCAGTCCTAGTACCTAGTCCTAGAAGAAATTATTCTTCCAGTATGTATTTAAATCATACCAACTATGTAGAATACTCTGGGCAGTCATTAACCGTCCTTTTGAAGGGATTGTTTTTCTTTCCTTGGGTCTGCTGGAGGCACAGATTCTGAAGATGGTTATGGCCAATTCTGAGGTTAGTTTAGCCAGAGTTCCAGGGTGAATTTGTCTGATCCCATTTTTATGAAAACATTTAATTTATGTGAAAGTGGTAAATAGGATCATATTAAATTTTACAAAAAGTATGAGACACTTCCATTAACACGTTGTAACTGCAGTCTCTTAAAATCTTTTGGCAGTAGTGTGTTCCTCAGATTCTGTTGTCATCATCAGGTTCTTAGCTTTCCGACAGATAGACATCAGTATGAATGCAGTATGGATGCTCTGATTCTTTTCTCCTTCTCCAGCTTCTGCCTTTAAGAACTTATTTACAGTGTAATTACTCAGATGTGAAGTCTAATAATCCACAAGTAGCACAATGAATTTCTTAAAGCGTCTCTTTCCAGACACTTTTTCAGTAAGTCTGGAATGCTGTTTCCAGATTTGTACAACAGTTTGGTACCCACTTAAATAATTTTCCTGGAGTCTCAAGGATCAGGTTGCTCTGGATTTAAAAAGGTGCAGCACTTGAATGTTCCTGAAGTTTCTCCCCGATGTACTATGAACCAAGTATTAGACATGAGTCTTCATTTGTTCGCTAGCAGGTTTTTGCCAGCTTTCATGCATAGGTAACGATGCTTCTGGCAAAAGAAGATGTAGGATGGGTGAAATACTTTCTGCCAGTATCTGGGAACATTTATCTGCAGGGGAGTCAAAGAAATATGAACATACGGTTTTGAGTAACCCTTTGGAAGTTTGAGTAACTTTGGAAGTTACTGTGCAACTGGAAAACTAATAATTCTTTAAAATTCTGTAAAATATGTGAATCTTAAGTTCCCTGTAACCTTAATAGCTGGGTTTTAACCATGTGGATCACAAAAAAGAAAGTGATCAGTGGTGTGAATTTGGTGCATCAGCTTTGAAAAGCAAGCAGCCTTTACTCTGAAGAGGCTTAGAAATCATCAGAGAAAGTATCATGAATGCTTAAGTTAGATGCGACTGCTGTGGTGTGATTAGAAAGTTTGTAGACAGACACCGTAAGATGGAGATGTCAGTGATGTCTGCAGTCTCCTGGAAAGAAGCTTATTTGTTTGCTACTGAAGTTACTGATGCACAATGAGTGAGTGAAATTCAGTAAACAAACAAGAACTGGTTTTGAAACTACATTTCTAAGAAGGCTAAGTCACTGTCAGTGTAATGCATTTCATAGTTACTTGCATTATAAAGGATTTGATAAGAAATCAGTCAAGAGTCACAGAAAAAAATTGTTTAAAAGTTGCTACAGCAGTTGATAAGACTTCTTCCTTATTCGTTACCATCTACCACTTGGAATCAGTAGGAAAACTAATTAATATAGAGAACCAGTCCCAGGATTATTATGGGTGGTCAGGATGACTGAGAGACTGTGGAGGTACTGTTGATGGGTGTATTTCTTCTCTGTAGAGGTCTCAGTTGCTATTGATGTTACCTGCTTCTCAGCTGCATTTGGTGTTATCTGATTGACCATCAATATTTGCTGTTCAGTGATGATACAATGACCTTCCCAAATCAGTGGAGATTTTTTTTTATCGCACAAGTTTTACATATCCCTGCCATATAAAGAGTGATTACATGAAGTTTTCACTGATGCTATGGAAGATGAACTACAGAAAGTCAGATTTTTCCCTCCTGAACTACTGGACAGCCTTAGATTTAGACTGAAAAGCTGCTGCAATTCCGTTCATTCCCAAAGATCATTTCTGAAGATCATCATATTAATTGCTACATTGACAGTATTTGGTAGAACAAAACTTACTGATCTTGGAATCTCAACTGGTTCAGCAAACAGATCATAACTGTGTGTCTGTGTATTCTTTCTACAAAAACATTTCTTCTGTTATTAAGAAGTCTTGTAAGAACTTTATTTTCAGACATATAATGGCTCAAGCCTTCTCCCATAGGAAATATTACAGACTGACTTCAACAGTAATAGGCAAAATTCTGTCCATAGAATGGGTGATGTTTTGTCTGATGTCTAAGCATCCAACAGAATGTGGTATATATTCAGCGTGTAATACCTGTTCAAAACTGCTAATGTCTGCAGTGGAGTGAAACTGTTTCAGAACACTTCATCTTTTTCAATTCCTTTTCATGTCAGTACATAAGCATTGTAGCTTCTAAGCCTCCTTGTTGCCAGAGGCTTAACCATCATTGGATGTCTCATAAATATGTGAAGTTACTGCCAGGACGTGTGCTCTTGCAGTGGAGCTTATAGGCCTTACTGTCAAACTTTCAGGAATTTCTTTCAGGAGAAGGATACTTTCAGATATCTATTCGTAGTGCTGCCTAGGAGAGGGAAAACCTTTTGCTTTTGTTTCTTCATTTACTGGATTCTGTGGAGTGCACTGAAATCCTTCTGACCTCCTCAAGTCTACCCAAAGATAATACTGTGTCTGCAGTATTGTTTTTCATCATGTCAAATACCAAATTAATATCAAATCAGAACAATCTTGTTGTATTTACTTAAAAATTTAGGACAAGGGAGAATCAAATCTCTGTCCTCTATTTGAAGTGTAACTGTGAAAAACAGTAAATGTTCAATTGTTGCAACTTCAGAAGTATTCATTTAAGAGATAATTCAGGAGTAAGATGTCAGTAAGATCTCTTTGAAAAGTTTTGAGCTGCCTGTAATATTTGTAGAAGTAAAAATGCAGCTTGTCCTGAATGGTAGTAATTACCATAAAATAAATCAGTAGCTAATGATTTCTGCTACACATTACACTAAGACAATCTTTTAAATTACCAAAAGAGACAGTACTAGGGGGAGCATCACAAGAATAGGAATTTTTGGTAAAAAGCAAGAGAGAGATTTTCAGGGTGTAGCCAGGAATTCAGTACTGGTAGTTGAGTGTGGTATCTAATTTGAGGAGGGGAAGCAGCATAGTGGAAAGATCTTGAGAACTGGGATGAGTCAAAATAGGACTTCCCAACATTGTGGATGTTATTGGCAGAGTATAGAGTTGTTGCCAATGGTCAAGAAGGGGTAAGATAAACCCATTTCATAACCTGCTTTCAATATACAGAAGTATTCTCACAGAATGTACTAGTGAGAGAAAATAAATATAGCAGTGTGTGCAAAGAAGTCATCAGTAAAGGCACACCTTTCCTGTGAATTTAAATTTTTCTAGAAGTATCCATTTTATTTTCTTCTACAGGTCAGTACCTTACTTAATGATTTTTAATATTTCTTAAAATATCTAGTAGAAATTATAGCTGCAGAATAAAGCTGCTTTCTTGTTTAGTAGTGTTTCTTGAAGGAAGCACATGGGAACCTGTATTCCAGTTAGTTTTTTATTATTGTTAGATGTACTGACCTATAATGGTGGGTATGATAATGAATGACTGATAATAATCTCATCATATTAGTCATCAGAATGACTAATAATAATCTCAGTCACTGCTTTCTGAAGACCAGCATTCCCTAAGGGATTAATAAATCTGATAAATGTTTGCTTTAACAAGAAGAGGCTGACCCTATTGGTCTAGCCAAAAGGCTTCCCCTCCATCCAGTATTGCTTTTTAAGCCAAAAATTACAGGTCAAAATTATAATTAGGACAGGTTGAAAAAGTTTTTACTGGGCTAACAGTTATGGGGAGCTAGTTTAATTTGAGGAACAAAAACTTTGAATGTGATTAATTGGACAATGCTTTTAATTAAAAATGTCCTCTTTTTAAAATTCTCTAGATACACTTGAAGTCTGGAATAAGTGCATGTAGAAGTAAAACTTCATACATTAAAAAAAAGGAGGGGGGGGGCGAAGGAGACATAAGGCAGGAAAAATACCTTGAGACAATTAGTGTTATCTGGATAATAACAAGAGGGGGGAGGTTGGTATTACTTTACTTAAAATAAAATAAAAATAAAAAAGTAAAAAACAAACTGTTAGAATCAAAGTTAAGGAAGTTGTGTATGTTTTGGTTTTGGGTTTGGTGTTTTTTGTAAATTAAAATGTGTGGCTGAAATAGCTAATGCTTATGCACTGATCATTAAGTCTTCATCACTGGACCTTATTATGAGTCTTTTTGATCTTTCCTTTTTCTGTAGTCAGCTTGCTTTCATTGACCATTTTCTAATAGTTGATATTCTGAACCTGCAGGTACTATTTTTATTTATTCTTTTTTGGTGGTGGGTTTTTTCATTCCATCTTCTCTGAAATGATCCCTTGTCTACCTGCAGTGGACTGCTAAAATTCCTAGGAAATACACTGCAACTATCTAGATTACATCTTGATCAAGGAATGATGTGCTTCCTACAAATCTTATTTAGACCTTTGTGAACACAGATATATGTAGAAATACACATTAAAATTATGTAGGTTATATTTAGTGTGTTTTTATATAAACATGAAACAACATAACTGTTCAGTTTTTCTGAATTATTATTCTAGGATCAAGACAACCTTTAATCCAACAGTCTCAGCCTCCACCTTATTCATCACCTAGAGATGTTCCCCCAGACATATTGTTAGATTCTCCAGAAAGAAAGCAAAAGAAACAAAAGAAAATGAAGTTAGGCAAGGATGAAAAAGACCAGACTGAAAAAGCTGCAATGTATGATATCATTAGTTCTCCTTCCAAGGACTCCACTAAGCTTACATTAAGACTCTCTCGTGTAAGATCTTCGGATATGGACCAGCAGGATGATATGCTTTCTGGTTTGGAAAACAGCAGTGTGTCAGAGGGTGATATTCCTTTTAATGTGCAGTACCCAGGACAGACTTCTAAAACACCCGTTACTCCACAGGATGTTAACCGCCCACTAAACGCTGCTCAGTGTTTGCCGCAGCACGAACAGACAGCTTTCCTACAGGCACAACAAGTGCCTGTTTTACAACAGAACACTTCAGTTGCTGCAAAACAACCTCAAACTCCTGTGGTACAGACACAGCAACAGGTTTCGCAACAAGGAACTATAACGTCATATGATGAAGTAGAGTTGGATGCATTGGCTGAAATTGAGCGGATAGAACGCGAATCAGCTATTGAAAGGGAGCGATTTTCAAAAGAAGTGCAAGATAAAGGTAAAAGGATTGTGTGTGTGTATACACTATATATTATATAAAAATATATATATATATGCATATAAACCCCATATATATATATATTTAAAAAACTTCTTGTCATTGTCACATAGTTCAATTCTGTTTACTCAGTGTAGGTTCTTCTGTGACATTCATCTCCATTCCCCTCTAACAATGAACTGTAACCTATCATATATGCATATTTTTAATATCTGGTGTTCTTTATTTGGGGTCTTAATGTATGGAAAGTGAAGTTCTTGTTTCAAAATTCTTTTTAAGTTACTCTTATTTTGAATCATGAGACTGAATGAAGTACAATTGATGTTGTTTATAGTTTCTAAAATCCCAGCAGTACCATAAGTCAAAATTTGTAGTAAGTTTTGGTAGTTGAATTATTAACTACTCATGTTGCCTAATTTATGAAAATACAGGAAAGCTCTTTTATCCCATTTCTATTCATCTACACATTTGAACCTAATGTGAAGGAGGTATTAGATTAAAATCCCATCTATTCTTTTAAAGGCAGTGTAATGATTTGGTAAGATACACTACTATCTTGTCTCCAATGTTTATTCAGCTGGATATTCATTATTATGTAGGCATTACAAACTTTAGAGAACTACCATATACCTGTATGGTCTCTAGCACAGAACCAGATAAGCTTTTGAAATGTTTTAACTTCAGTAGCTGTACTGGTTGTCTTAACTGATTTAATTGAATCTATCCTCTTTGGCTTGTTTTGTTGTATTTACTCTGTTGTTAACTGCTTTGAAGGTCTCAGAAATCCCAAAACCAGATGCAAAGTCCACATGTAAATCTTGAAGATAAGATGTATTTTATGAATTAGATAGTAATAGGTTAACATAAGTATTTTTCAGAAAGTTCCTCTGCACTGTGTTTAACTTCTGAGGAAAAATCTTATACAGTATAATACTAATTTATTAGACACTCCCAAGAAAAATCTCACAAAGTGATACAAATTCTGATTTTGGAAGTTCATAGTTGAAAATTGTCAATTCTGGGCATACTTGTATGGATGCAGCTGAATTTACGTACAGCTTGGGTGTTTAACGAGCACTGAGAGCACAAATTTTCTCCCTATTTTTTCTTTCTGTTTTTAAAGATGCTAGGGTGGGGGGAGAGGAGGAGAGAGGGAGTTGTGTGTCTGTTTGCAAACGTGTTTTTTGCAGTTACTAAAAGGTTTAAGTTCTCAGATGTTTCTTGTTTAGTGACTAAATTAAGTCTTTTTAGGAAATGTTGAATGTGAATATATGGAGAAAATGTGTGCTCACCTTAAAGGAGTGCTCACCTTTAGCTTTAATTTAGTGAAATGGGGAATTTGCCTCTTTGCTTAAATCTCTTCTACTAATTTTAAATTTATTCATCAGGAGCTTGTGGTTTGTCTCCTCGTACTATAAAAGCTACTTTTTATCCGCACACTTCAGGTAGAATCTCAGCACATTTTAGATGAGAAGCATCTGGAAAAATGCACTTAAAGCAAGACTAAAACACACTTTCTCTTTTGTTCTGGCTTTCAGGAAATGTTGAGCATTAGTTCTAAAGTTTGTTTGCCATAATTACATAGCCACAGGCTGACTCTGATTTCTTTCTTTTGGGGGAAGGAGTGATCTCTCCCCTTCACCACTTCTCAGTAAGCACCTTCCCAAATGATTCCAACCTCATGCTACCTTTCTAACTGCATCTTCTGGGAGGTCTGAGTTCTTCCTGTGTTCCTGCAATTGCTATTAGTCAGGTGCAGGATTTCCTACCTTATATAGAGACAAATGATCACCATTTATTCACCAGTGGTATGTTGCTAGACAGCAGCTCTTTTCACTTCAGCTGCTGAGATTTCAGCCGTGAATGAATAGTATTGAGTAGAAGGATTTTTAGCAGTCTTGTGACAGATTTCCTGAAAAGCTGTTACCTTGGAAAAATAGGGGGTTTATTTTTTGGTAATGCTTTTGCATTGCTTGTAAGTTTATATTGTGTTTACAAGTTGAGGCACACTGGGATTGTTCTAGTAATAGCTGTTCAGTTTGGTGTGACTGCAGGAGGAAGCTTCCTCTGTTGTTCCTAGGGGAATATGTCTGTTAGAAATCTATCCAATAACTCCTAAATATGTCATTCATTTTTGTGAAGTTGCTTAGAGTATTTATGCAAAAGCCTGGCATTTGTGCATTTTAGTACGTACACTGTAACTTCAGGTCACATTATGTGAAGAAAATTGTGTGACTGTAGCAAGTATTCAGTCTAATTAGAATGGGAATGTATAATGCTAGCTGATGTTTTATAATAGCCAGCTTCCCTCTAGAGAACTTACTGAAGATGCTAGCGTATACCGAAATCTGCATGAAACAATGTTTTCTGCTTTTGTAGTCTAGGCACGCGAATGCATATTACAGTAACACTACACTTTCTGTGTAAGCACACATTGTTGTCTTGCATAATTTGAGTAGAATTGTACTCACAGGTTTTGATAGGTTACTGGTCTCTTCTGTCTTTTTTTTTAGACATTAAATGGCTGTAGTGCTATGCTTCCTCAAAGGTTTTCAGTTACTTTCTTTCTAACTGTAAGGCTTTGGTTGGGTATTCCATGTTCTTTCAGATACTCCATGTTCTTTCACAGGCTTGGAACCAGTAGTGTGGTGGAACTGTTTTTTCCAGAGGAGAGGTGGAGATTTGCTGGGGGAGCATTTTTTTTTGTTAATGCTGAGGTTGTTTTATAATGTTTGGTACATGTGGGAAATGGAGATTGGAGCCCTTTGGTAATTATAGTACTTTCTGTAATAAGTCATTAATTCTAACAAAACTATTAAAATATTTAGGGTCCACCAAACAAAGTCTCTCAAAGTGGGAGGCAGTCTCTGTTTCAGAGGTGGAACCAACACAAGGTTTTTCAGAATTGCCGCCTTCTTTGAAAAGCAGTGTCTCTTATTGGAACCTGATCATCATGCTTTTGCTTTTTGAAAAAGGAATTCTTAGTGCAAAAATCACTAAAGCAAAATCTTGAAGATTTGATCTAATGCATATCAGGTATGCATAAGAAGTGATTTTTTAACACAGACCTTTTGTCCAGTATCTGAGTACTTTTTAGAGCTCTGTTTTTATAATTCTATCCTTTTGATCCATTTGGATCTTGGATTAAGCGGATTATATGGTCTTTTCATCATGATAGAGACATGCAAAGTTCAAAAAAGTTGGTTTCGCTCTTGTGCTCTGCGTGAAAGGACAAGAGTCCATCTCTTCTTCCTGCTTTTTCCGTCAAGGGAGTCTCTCTGTATTGATTAATTTTGCAAGTATTTGTCTCTTTTTGTTAATGAAAGGAATAGTTGGAAATTGTGAAGATCAAGGCACTTGGCACCAGAAGTTACATTCTAATGCATCTATTATGTTTAATACCCACAGAACAAGTAAATAAATCCATGGACCATGACATGCTCAGGTCTTCAGTTCCTATTGCCCCTCTCACAATGGCATCTATATACTCATCAGATACGAGTTGTTAATCAATACTAGGTATCTTCTCTTTGGAAAAGATGTATCTAATTACAAATAGATCCAGCTATTTTTCATCAAGACTCAGATTATCTGAGTTGGAAAAAAAAGGTGATTTGGAAGGGCTGATGCAGAAAGAGATTATCTTTTTCCACAACAATCACAACAAATGAACCATCCCTGGTTTAGGTGCATTGTGATACTTTGCTGATGTCATACATTTAGAAAGGCAATGAAGTTTCTTGCACTCTTTCTTTTCTTCTAATCACCATCAGTAGTCGTATTTCCTGTACTTCTTTGTGCTGTTGAATACTTTTGAAACAAGTAGAGGTCCATATTCTGAACCTGGTTTGTTCACTTAACTGGAGTTGTGCTTTGTTCACATTCTGAAGTTGACTACTCCAAGGAAGTTTAGGAAATCCTGTTGAGTTTTAGAAAATTATGTCCCAGGAATTTCTGTTCTTCTCAGGAATCTTTTTTTCCTTGGTTGGGATTGGGGAGGATATTGATAGAGAAATTTTATTAGTAACCTCAGTTCTTCACATTAACTTGTGCTTTCCCACTGTTCATTGTTCAGATAACCCAAGTGGGTTATTTCTGTGTATAGTCAAGTAGCTTGAAACTAGTCAGTCACTTTGAGTCTAACGTCTTCCTAGAAAATTACATTAAGTTCTTCTTTTTCTTCACAACTTAGAACTGCTACTGAATTAATTTTCAGGTTCACACTTTATACCTCAAGACCTTTCATATTTTGCTAAAAACCCCAAATACTGTGAATCAGAAATATTGCAAATATTAAAATGAGCTCTGAGTCCTCTAGAAAGGGAAAAGGGGAAGGTAACCTTGAAAACTACTTTAAAAAAAAAACAAACCAAAACCAAAAACCAGAAAGTAACCCATCTTTTTTCAAAGACTCTTTTTCGAATTTCTGTAGTATTTTATTTTATTCAGATTTGCTAAGTTTTAATTTGAGCTCTTCCATACATAATATTGTATGTTCACTGTTAGATAAAGGCTGCTTCAAAGACACTTTTATATAATGCACCTATCTTAACAGATTAAGAAGTTCTACTTTTACTTGTAAAAGGCACCATTCTCTGGAGTTTGTGAGAAAAGTAATGAAATCATTAATCACTAACAGTTTCATTGGGAGGCTAATACATTTTTTTTTAACTTAAAAGCATTAGAAGCATTTTTTAAATGAAACAAACCTACTCGTATCTGTGTTATTTTCCCTATATATTTTACCTCTGAGGATCCATTTTACTCATTTCTTTGGAATCTTACTGTGGATTCTTTGAATTGGGAGGAATTGAATCTGTAATAACTTTATTTCCAATAATTGGATCAGTTAGGGGGCATTTGGATGCCTGCTGTGGGCCCTTCATTTTTAGTTCATTCCAAGCCCATAGCAGCAGAGACACACAACCCAAGAGTGTGAATCTGCCGGAGAAAAACTCTCAAAACTACAGTTATAGGTAAGTAACCTTTTTCTCTTACCT